TAATGTTTTACTTAGTTGGGTTATGACTTCAGTAAGTTCTTTAGTCATACTATTAACATAAGAGTGTTTAAAATTAAGAGTATATTCACAGCCAAGGGGTTTTTTTCCTTCTGTAAAAATGAGGGCATAACTTGTGATTTTTCTTTTTAATTTGTTGAGGCTTATAAAAGGGCTGAGTATTTGGCAGCTGAAAAAAAAAAAAGTAGTAACTAATGCTCCTCTAAATGTTCTTGTTCTGGAGGGCTTCATGATACCTTCACTGAAGCGCAGTCGCTGGGATGAACGGCTAGGGGAGGAGAAAGGGTATTTTTATTAGAGGGATTTTCCTTCATTTAAAATCTTAGTTTTGCAGGTGTGCCATTGTCGGAGCCGTGAGGTGAGGCAGGCTGAACTGGTCGGTGCCTGGCATACCTTCAGGAAAAGCTGGTGTTGGAAAGGACGGTGCCGGCGAGCCCGGGGCCACGTTGCTGTGCCCCTTCCCTGGAGTCGTGCTAGGGCTGCTGCAGCGCAGAGCCCGCCACCTCCCATTTCACGCAGCTTAAAACCCAGGTCCTGAACGTTTCCATCACACAAAGTCCTCTTTGCCTAACTCGTGGGATTGTTAGTTAGTGATGCCCTAAACTACCCAAGTACCTTGTAATTTTTTAAAATTATGTATTGCACTTGTCTTGCAGGTGCATATTCAGTTGTGCAGAGTTACTGTCAGGCAACCAACTCCTTGTAAAACCAGTCTAGAAGTGGCTACAGGTCAGTGAAGTTCCTGAGGATGGAAATATTTCAATAAATTCAATGGGTAATACTCAAGTCTTTCATGATTTCTCCTTATAAAGCTTTAGCTGAGCATTACAATTTTTTTTTTTTATTAAGTCAGATGTGATTTCAGTAAGTTCTTTAATTGGGCTTATTCTCAATGCGAGACTGCTTAAAATTAAAAGTAGGTTCTTGGCCAAGTTACGTTCAAGCACAATTAAGTTAAATAATGCGATAGCAGGATGCAAGGAAATAAAAGACCATTTTTGGAAACAGGAGATGAAGTATTCCAAAGCAAAACCATAGGGAATACAAAACTAGCTTTTTTTCTCGGTAACTTGCAGTAGTTGCAAAGCCAGAAACACCTGAATAAGTATTTATAAATAGTAACTAGTTTTGAAAAACATTATTTTAAGTCCCTTGTGGGGGATGTTCATGTGAAATCCTTTCCTGTGCGCGTGTATGAGTTGACTTCACAAGCTCTGTGCTGCAGTTGAATAATCAGCCCGTTAAAGGTTTTCTTTGATGCTCTCATGACAATACGACAGGGCTGGTGACTCTCCACCAGGTCTCTGTTCTGCTGACCTGCTTTTTCTGAAGGGAAGCAAAACTTCTAGCTTTTCACACCCTTGCGTAGAAAGGAACAAGGGCAGAAAAGCTCCTTTTCATAGCATTTCTGACTAAATCAAAAAGCAGAAGAATAGAAAGCGAGAGAACTTGTTTTTCTACCAGATGCCTTGTCTGGTTTTGTTGACTAAAACGCTTTGAACGTGAGTGGGGCACGGCGACGTCTCCTAGCCCTCGCCGGGGCTTGCACCAGGGTGCTCGTGTGAACCGCTAAGACTCTGCGTTACCAACTTCTTGGACTGTTCTGCCAAAAATCAGCTGACTTTTTCAGGTAGCGTTTCAGGTATTGGAGTTATTGTATGAGAGCGTGAAGTAAGGGAAATTAACTCCCAATAGCTCCAGGGATTTGTAGGATTCAATGACTCTCAATGCATGAGAAGTAGGAAAAATCACGGAGGTAGGTAAAATGTCTTTTATCTTTACTTTAAGGTAAAGTGTCACTCTTTTTTCTTAAGTAGACGAACCTCTTATTCTTCATCTTGGTAATAAGCAAGACTCAAAAATCATTGCATTTTCAGCAAGAAAATGGAAATTTATCAACTTCACTCACCTGCTGCTTCGACCAGTTACCGGGACCAAATGCATTGGCTAAAAATAGCTGTGGACTCGAGGGGATGGTGAAAACGGGTCGACTGCTCACCTGACTGAGAACAAATGAAACCTTCTGAAGGGATTTTGGAAATGTTATTTTTTTAACGGCATAGGCAAGTGGTTGACCTACTTGACGGCTTGCGTGAGAGTTAGTTTTCCAAAGAAATATGTGTGCCTTTCATCCCGGCTTCAGGCGCATCAGCATATTTGCTGCGAGCAGCTTTTATGCAGTATATGCAGCCAGAAAAATGTCTTTTGTGTGAGCTGCGGGTTTGAGCCTAGGGACAACTTTTTCTTACCATCACAGCCATGAGTGCATTACCAAAAAAGATGTGTGATGCAGTAGTATGTGCTTTTCCTGAGCGAGAGAAGCCATAGCGTAGTGTCTTTCTGTTAGGGAGACTAATGACCTGGGGAACATCCCAGGCGTTGCTCAAAACATTTTTTTTTTCTTTCCTAAATGAGGTGGGTGGGGAAAGTCCTGATTGCACAAGCCTTTGCTTTATCTGCAGAAAAGACCGCATGAGCAATGCTCTGTCAGCGGTTTTGACCGTGGCCCGTGCCTTTGGAAGAGCTTGCGTGGACGGAGCGCGAGGGTGCTGCCACCAGCAGATGCGGAGTGGGGTCCCTCACGCCGCCCCCCCAGAGCTCTGCTTTCAGGGAGCAGCCGGGTGCAGAGGGCACTGCCTCTTTGGGGATTTCTACCCAAAAAGTGCCAACGCACAAGCAATTGCGTGCACGCGTTTCTGCTTAGCTGCAGGGTGTCTGGCTAATGCATCTCAGAGATGTATTGCATCCACTAAAAGGCCAGCAGGGTCCCAGAGCTACAGTAACTTGCATCTTCTCAGGCAGAGCCAAAAGAGAAAGAAAAATCTCTTAAATTGGTCCCTCTGCTAAAGGGTTGCTTACAGAAACTCACTTGATAATGCTATTTTGAGTGAGAAATGCAGTCCCCCTTCCCCTTGCCTTTTCTCTCCATTCAATGAGGCTGCTCTGCTCACGCAGCGTCTAAGGCAGCTCCTCCTGCTGCAGAATATGGCAAAACTGCAAAAAATTTCAGCAGAAACAAGGTTTTCGGTGGGTACTTCAGCTTGCTGCAATGGGAGTGCAGTTCTGGGTTGTAAATCACTGATGATATGGTTCAGTGTGGCCTTTGCATTAAAGAGCAAACCCATGTTAAAACTTCCCCATGTTAAATTATGCCTTTAGAAGGGGATAGAGGGACAGTAGTGAATGAAAGCTTCAGGTTATGGAGGATGGGAAATATGTGGGGTGATACAGGCTAGAAACGCAGGCACGTCAGTCACGGCAGGGTCAAGCAGGCAGCAGGATTTCAGGATCCACCACCGCTTCCAAGGAGCGGCTGGGCAGCGCCACAAGGGTTGCAGGAGCATTCGAGTAATGAAATCAGCATTTCAAATGTCTCTTTTGCTAATCCACTTACGCTGACAGGTCAGACAGATCAGGGATGAGTTTAGTTAAAGAAATAGCTTTCCCGGCCATAAATAGATTGATAAAATACAATTCTATTAAGAGATCATTCCAGGCGCCTCTCGAGTCTGAATGGCATTAGTAATTGTGTGGGAATCTGAGTCTTAAAGAGATTAGGGCGGTCTCCGTTTCCCACGCAGGTTGTCTGTTGGGACATCATTACGTAAACTAGATGTTCTAGACTGAAAAATAGTTGTGCAATTTTGTCCAGAGGTAGTCCCAGGTAGGAGCTGTGTTGAGCTTCTACACTGAGTGCTAAGCCTCTTGGATGCTTGGCAGGGGCAATCAGGAGAATCAATCCATTTAGAAAAGCAAATTTTGCAAACTCTGAAAATAAAATTGTATTTTAAGCAAGCAGGAGCAAGCACATTCCTGTGCCAGGAACGGGCTGGGGACCTTCCTTGGCTGCAGTCAGGAAAGGTATCTGGGAGGAAGGCAGAAGCACACTGCCTCTGGGCTGCTCCTGGCTTGCCTCGTTCCCCAAGAGCTTATACAGGTGGGGAGTGTGGGAGCCCCCTTTTCCCCTGCAAATAGCTAAAATAAGCCCGATGCTGAAGGTGTAGCCTGGTGTGACCTCTCTGAATTGCACTGACCCCGTGGGCAGCTGGCTTGGTCAGAAAAGCAGCCAGGATGCTTGTGGGCTCCACAGAGCTACCGAGGTGAGGGGAGCGGCCGTATCTGCTCTCAAACTGGGGTTAGCAATGAGCCGCCAATGCCTGCTTTTTGCATCCAGGCTGAAGCCGTTGCTTTGTCCTTCAGTTGTCCCACCAGATGTCTGGGGTGATGCTGAAGAGGCAGGTGACAGATTTCAGACGTATGTTTGGGGCGTCCCGCCCCATCCCACGTCGGCCGGGCGGTCTTGACGTTTCCTCCCCAGCCGTGGCCGCAGGTGGCTGCGTTTCGTGGAGAGCTCAAGGATGGTGCTGTTAGTGCAGACGTTTACCCATAGCTCACAGCAAAGGACCGCTGTGCACAGGGCTTTGCAGACAGGCTCGAGCAACATGAAACTACACCTGTGTGAAGGAGAGAGCAAAGAAATAGCTCTTGGCATCCATCCTGGTGAGCTTTGCTTAGCTCTGAAAAAAAGGGGCACCAATTTGCTAACCTTGGTAGCGTGCTAACCCTGTCCGTTAACTGTCAATGGGGTCTGACGAGAAAGGTACACCCACAAAGGTGACAGAAACCCCCCAAAGTGGTTGCGCGACTGTTGGTTAATGGTCATGACCATCCGGAGCTGCAGCCAAGGCTGGTCTGGGATTGTGGCGTCCGGCCCACGCGCAGCGGGACGCCCGGGCTGCCGGCGTTCCCGGGGCTCAGCCCACCGAGGAGAACGGCAGCAGCCAGCCGCCTGCTGCACGGGGTTGCTGAGGTCGGGCTAGACGCGTGTGCCGAGTTCACCCGAGCTATGAAGGTGTTCGAGCCACTTCTAGGGTCCTCCCGAGAAAATCCTAAGGATCTCCTGTGTCTGGCCTTTATGTTAAAATCTTCTCTCTCTCTTTTTTTCCTGCTTCCTTCCCTGCCTCGCTCTCCGCCTCTTGCAGCAATGTGGACACAAAGGAGCTGTGTGGTGAGTACAGTCCTCCTCTCTGTACAAAAGCCGTTGTCATGTGCCGCGGCTGTTTTCCAAGGATGTGTGACAACTGTTAAAAAGCAAAGTTAACTCCTGTCTCATTGGGATAAATGGTTTTTTAGGTTGTGTGCGAGTCGCAAATAATGCAGGAACCGGGGCTGGTTAACAAGGCATAAGGCAGCTGAAGCCGTCCCCTTTCGGCTGCTCGGGGCCCTGCGTATAGTTTCTTGCTGCCGTCCTCTGACCAGAGCAAGGCAGGCGCTCCCCCTTCCTGCGGCTGGGATTACCCTGCCCGCAGCAGCGGGGACGATGGAGATGTCCTTAGGAAACGTGAAGCAGAATCAGGGCACCGGTAATGCCCGTGGCGGCTAGGGAGCCGGGATCCTCAGCGCTTCTTGTGCTTGCTCTGCTGTTCGGCAGGGGAGCTGGCAAAGCTTTTCTTCATTTCGCTGCAGCATATATGGGCTCAGAGCTTGAGCATGACAACGGGATCCAGTTCGGTAACAACACGGAGTTTAATTTCTGGCAGTGTCACATCTGCAAGCAGTTCAATAAACCAGTATCCCTTCATAATACCAATAATGTGTTTATCCTTAGGCAAACCTTCCTGTTTCGCAGCTGGCTGCCTGAAGTATATATAATCTCCGGTGCACCTTCCACAGCTCAGAGAAATTAAAGACTGAAAAGAAAACCTGTAGCAACACTTTGGCCCACACCTCAGCCAGAAGGGGATTCTTTCCTGCGGGGATTTCCTAAAGGCTTTGTCTAGATTTGAAGCAACGCATGCGTGGGGCTTTGCTGCTCGCTTGGGAATGTTGTTGCATGGACACTCTGGTGTTAGGAGACGTTTGAGGGGTGCTCAGCTTTTCTGGAAGAGATGGGGAGCTGTGTAGCCGCCTCGCGAAGGCTTGGCCATCGCCTCTCCTTACCTCCTCTGAGAGGGTGTAGAAGAACATCTAAAGCAACTTTTGCAGGTCCTCGCATTTGCCATCCTCACTTCACCGCTAATTACAGTGTTCAAAGGCCTAGGTGCGAATAGATGGGATAGCAGGAAATGCAGAGCCTGGCAGCTGCTTTCTGCAGTACGGTGCTTGCTGGGTGGTCTGTACAAAACAGAAGGTAGTCCTTAGTCTGGATACCTTTTAAACAGCTCATTCTTCAATTTAAGCTGATGCAGTTACAGCTTCCTGCCAGTTTGTCTGCTTTAATTTAAAAATACAGATTACTTTGAAACGCTGGCTGTTTGTGTTGTTCATAGTTAGTTATTGAACCAGAAGATCCTGGAGGGGAAAAGCCTGAGCCCTAGGTGACAGAGAAGAGTCGAAGTGGGGTTTCATTTCTAGCAGTGCTCAAATGTGTGTTTGCAAGCCTGGCTGTTACTCAGCAAGGGGGAAACGGGAAGAGAAAGCCGTAACTCTGGGCTGGCGTGCAGTGGGTAGAGGAACAACATCATTTTTTCATAAATCCCTAAGCCACCAAAGTGAGATAAGATTGTAGGGAAGGATACTGCCTTTATTTTATTGGCGCGACAGGTAAGTTTCTGAGCACACAGACCTCTTCAAGCCTGCAGCAAAAGCAGCCAAATTTCATCTAGTGGCCCCACTCATTGTCATTTTGGTACCTGAGAAACTAAGCCTTTATTAAAATCCTTTTTGGTTTGCTGATGATATGGTGGCCTTTTGCCCATTATTCCTTTCTTATTTAATTAGGCCTTCTTGTCAGCTGACCCAAGAAACAAACAAACAAAAAAACCAGACTGTCTTGCAGATTTTGGCAGGAAATATGAGGACAGTAGCATCACCGTTTGCCAACGCTCTGCTTTTTTCATCAGACTGATAAAAACAGAAAATTATATTGCTGTCATTCAGCGTGATCTCATGTTAATTTTGGAAATAGACAGTTTGCAAAACTGAGTTACTGGGAGAGCGGGGAGATAAATCCACCAGCTCATTGTGTGAAACGGGTCGACATGGGACCCTGGATAGATCGTGTATCTGCTGAATACTTACCATTGCCAGCAACCTGCTTTTTTCATTTGCTTGCCACTCTTCTAAGAACTGCTTTAAATATCAAACCTCATTTTGGCAAAATGGAAACTGTAGTGTCTCTTCTGGAAATGGTTGCACGTTGCAGCACATTGAGAGCATCTGAAAATGGATTCCTTGGACTCTGCAACTTATGGGAGAAATTTGTTATGAATTAATCATTATCAGGTAGCATCCTGTGAAGTTCCAGGTTTTTTCCAACAACCACTACTAGAAAGAAACATTTCTGGATTGTAAAGATAGCAGTTTGTTGGGCTCATAGCAGCAGGCATCCTTATTTAATTGTTTGGGAAATAATATTGATGTATTAAAATGAGAGAGGATGACACATGAGACTTGGCTCACCCTGTGGGAGGATGAGAAACCGTGCCGGAGTCAGGGCTTCCTCCAAGGGCACATTTCCACAGCGCAAGCAAAATGCCAAACTTAGTGCCTGTGGCCATGTCGTTCCTCCAGCTCTCTGCCAGCGCAAGCATTTGTGCGGCCACGGAGGGAGTTGGGATCAGGGAACTCGTGTGGCTGACATTAATCTGCAACAGAGTCGACCAGGGTGCTGAGCGACAGCTTTGCTGGGGAGAGGTGAGTGGGGGAAACCCACCTCCTCCGCACGCTGGCCCCATATTGCGGTGGCTGCACATCTCCTGGGCATCCATCCCGTTGATCTCTACGTATGTGTAGGAGCCGTAAGTAGAACCACCTAGGATAGAAAGTGCCGATCTCAGACATTCAGAGGGATAAATAAGGCTAAAACCATAGTGCTGCATACTTACAAAAAGTAGCAAAAGTCAGTGCTGTTCTACTCCCAAATGCTCACTCTCCTTGTGCTCGCAAGACTCTTGGTCATCATCAAGAGAAACTCATTTCTCCTGAAATGTACGGGCCCCAGCTTTTTATTCTAGGACTTGGAAGAATGGATTTCCTTTTACTTTTAAAAACTGCTCAGTGATTTGGTTTTCTTTCCCAAGTAAAGTAATAATAACAGTAAAAGTAAACATGCTACACTGAGAATAAGCTGTTTGGCTTATAGCAGAACAGCAAACAGCCGCTATCAATCATGTTGTGACATGCCAGTTTCTGCCAAAATCTTCTCCCCCTTGGATATGTTGTAAGGCCGTAAAAGATATAGGCACTTCTAATTAAGCCAAGAGAACCTAATTAGTGTCTAATTGTCTCCTGGAATTTAGTTCTTGTTGAATTCCGTAGCAAAGTCACCTCAGAATGAATCTTCACTTTTTTAATGTTAAAGAAAAGCAGTAGTAGCTTTTAAGGAACAGCATTTAACCGTAATTTGCGTCAGTCGCATAGCAATTGGTTAGCTTTGTGTCTACACCGCAAACTTAGTGCATGTGTTGCTGCCAAACTTCTCACTATTTCCATTGTAAACATCTAATTTCAGGACTCCCTAGCTCCTGCACAAAACTGTGCCAGGGCTGAAATGTGTCTTAGAGCAATCGGTTGTGTGTGAGCACACTGATTTTAGCAGTATTTTGCATCAGCGCAGAATAGTTGGGATTACTTGGCATGAATCATCTCGTCTTGTAGGAAGCACGTGGGTGGCACAGCACAAGCCAAGGGCAGGTGGAGAGCTGGACAGACGCCAGGCCACATCGCGCTAACCCATACCAGTACAGATCCTTAGTTTCTTCAATATGGAATCCCCTAGGGAAGAAACACATTTCCAAAACCTAAACCTATATATTTGAGGAACCATTTTGTGTTTGTCAAGTTCTAGATTTTTTTTTATCATGTTGTGATCCTCAGCGTTTTGCAACCACTACCTTTCATCTTGTGTTGTCATTCACACCTTACAGGGTGAGGGAGAAACCTCTGACTCCTTCTGTTTGGAGGATATGTGCTTTTGGGCACCACTCGCAGCTCTGCTCTCTTCCTTTTGAGGCGTATTTTGCTCTCTAAGCCTGTGCAATTAGTGATTTTGTGCTGAGGTTCGAATGTGATGGGAATGTAGGGAAAGATAAGGCCAGAATCTCAGCTTGTATAAATTGCTGTGCATTTGGTTGCTACACTGATGCTTTGAGTGTTGGCAGCAGGAGAGAAAGAGCTGAGATATGGTCAAATGTGGAAGTGGGCATGGAAATAAAGTGCCTGCTAAGTTGTTTTCATTGGGAAATACTGTGCCTTATGTCTCTTTTTCACTATGGTCCCAAATTTCACAGGAGTTGCCTCCTTTCTCACCTCTTGAGGCCAAGTTGTGACTTTGACTCAGGTTATGGAGTACAAAAATGTATTTGAAGTTGCCTTCTCAATTTTTTCCTTCCATCAGAGTAGACCTTTCTGTTTTGTGTAGCCTTGAAGCATTAAGCTACATAAACACTTCCTATTGTGTTCCTCTTGGTTTCCCCAGACTATTTTGCTGATCATATGGGAGACTATGAAGATGTCTTGGCCTCACTGGAGATGCTGAACCTCTCCATCCTGAAGGCGATGGACTACACCAAACGGGTGAGTCATCCTTGCTCTGTCCCATGCTTACCCTGCCCTGTGCTCCATGACCACAAATTGGGGGGGGAGGAAGAGCAGTATTTTCTGTATGAAGGTGTGTGAGATGATGAGCTTGGAGAGAAGGGTGAGCTTTTGAGAAGGTCTTCACTCTCTCTGTGAAGGTGCGTGAATTTTCTGGAAGGTGGCAGCTTGTGCAATAGCACCTCGGTGGTGCAAATCTCCACGGTGGTTGTGAGAGGGTGTGTTTAAGCGTCCCCTATGGATTTGCTCCATTCAAGCATGTCCTGCTAGTGTGGGCCGCTTACATAGTGCAGAAACTGCATGCTCGGTGAGGAAGGGTGCACGCGATACCGCAGCTGTGATGCAAATATGATGTTAACAGAGCAAATAAATGAGGAGGTCTTCACCTTATTTAGCACGGTTGTCTCCTCTTACCATTGCACTTGTATGGTAAGTGGATCATTGCAGTAATATGAAGACAGTGGATGTTTTGTTAACAACAGATACATTTTGAAAATCTTAGGCTAAGTGTGAAATCAGGGTGCAAATTGCATGTGAAGTAGATGGTGGCGTGGAGGTTTCATGTCAGGGCACTGTATGCTGTCACGTGCCATGGGTTATGTTCTGTGTTACTGAAGCAATAAGATGCTACAGTTGTCCTCAGACAAGAAGGCATGCACATCTCTTGGGGGGCTTTTGAATGCATAAATTCTTGTTAGCTTCATTGGAAGTGCTTTTGGAAATGTTGTCTTTTAAAGCTGCCATTAAATACAGCTTCTGTGTTAGAAGCCATATTGAGTTCCAGAAATATGGTCATTAAAGTTCGCAGCTGATGTCTTAGAAAATAGAGTTATGTGTTCAAAAGAAGGGCAGGGGATATGGACTATTTATACGTGCAAGTGCCAAAGAAGAGGGTTAATGAAGTATTTTATACATGCAGTGGGCCCCTAACTTCTTTGTAAACAAGCCACCATGTACTTTAATGAAACTGCTAATAACGGAGTATTAAAAAGTGACGCTGTCCAAAAGCATATTGAAATTTAATTACAAATATCTGGAGGATCTGAGCTGATCTGCCAATAAGCATCCCTGCTAAGCAGTGAAGAGTTTATTTGATACCTTACCATGTGGAGAAAAGTGTTTATAGAGCTAGTGTTCCTTTTAAACCATTTTCCTATTCTTTCCATGTCATTTAATAAAGTAGCTGGACATTACCAGTCATATTAATTATCTCAGAAACACATTAATTCTTCTACTACTTCTGCCTTCAACCGTATTTGCATCATGCATTTGTGCCACTACAAGAAAGAAGTGGTCTTCCCTTTCACTGATGAGTAGTAATTTGGTGTAATGGAAATTGAGCAAAGTAAAGAGGTTTTGCTTTTTGCAAGCGTCTTTCAGCACTTCCACATTCAATTCCAATCCTCCTCTGAGCAATCCAAATTGAAATCTCCCTTCCACTTATCTTTGAAGGTAAAGGAAAACTCAAGTTGCTTCACATTAAAGATGTGGTTATGATAAGAAGTTTTAAGAATTAGAATAGGAAACAGCACATTTTTCTCTCTCTTCTCTGGTTGCTAAGTAAAGATCCTGATTTTCTAGGTTTATTTAAATCTATTCTTTTTAATATTTGTGAGGAGGGCAGCACGATGAAAAGCAAAGAAACATATTTGACGTGTTGATGTTTTGCCATGCTAAATGGAAGGCATAAATCTTTGGCCAAGCCCTAATCTGTATGAAATGCTTGTGAATTTTTATCAGACTTTGAGAGGGCAAAAAAACCCAGTAAAACTTTAATAGTTTTTCTTTTTTCTAGTTAGGTGCTAACTGTGTGTATGCCTCATATATATTTACTATTAGGAAATTTTCTGGCAGTCAGATTTGCCAACTACGTAGCTTAAATATATGTTAACGAGCTGATATAAATCTCAGTAATTCATTTGAACTATCAATTCATGATCCTACTGCCATTGCTTCTGAATGCAAGTTGAATATAGATGACTGTTTCCTCCTGGCGTTTTGCAAGATGAGGATGGTTTATTCCCTGTTTATAAATCAGGAATCAGTGCATACAGGGATTAACTTGCATAAGAAATCTGTAGCAGAACCAGGTTGTTTATTCATGATCCCAGTGTTCTACATTAATGATGAGATCTTTCTCCCTCCTTGCAGGTATCTAGCAATTTGTGGTAGGATTCACCTGCCTTAATTGACATGTCTAAAGGTTAGCTTTCTAAATCTGAGCTAGTCACCTTTCTCATCCTCTTGTCGTTCAGCAGAGAGAAATAGGAAGATCCAGAGCAGTGTTCATTTGGGCTGTGACCTGCTTTAGGATGAAATGCCTTGGAGGCATTTTCCTTCTGTGACTCTAAAGGATCACAGGGTTATTAAGCTCAAACGTAGACATCTTGCTTCTAAATGTCTAAAGCCAGGTGAGGCAAGTCCCACCCCAGCGTCTCCTCATTACACTTACTTAATCAGACTCTGTGATATGTTTTTCCTCACCATGTGGCAGACTTTTGGCAAGCAAGCAAACATCGCAAGAATTCTTCACAGAAAGGAACTGGCAAATAAGTATTTCATGAAAAACATTGGCTCCCTGCTGTGATTTGTGAACAAACTGGTACAAACCTCATCAATGAATTATTCAAAAATAGACTCTTTGTTCGAGTGAAAAAAGTGGAGGAAGAAAAAACCTGTAGAAAGTAAGCTGATTTAGGTGGTAGGGAAACTGCTCTTCAGTGATTAGATATGGCAGACTTCCAGACAGCACCAGAAGCTTTTCTAGAGTGCAGACCATTAATACGTCTAATGTTTTGAGAGCCAAGATTTTTTATGATGTGTTTTCACTAAAAAAATGCTTACTAGACTTTCAGCTTTAGTGCCAGAATTGCCAAAATCTAGAGGGTCAGGAGAAAGCTCCTCACCATGGAAATTCATGAAGTGGTGTGGCTGAGGTCTGCTCACCAGTTTCCAGTCAACACGTTTTCCCATTCCCCTCTTCAGCTCCCTACGCAGGTTATTGATGGTGCTGGGAAGAACTGTGCTGTTCCAGCTCATTTGCTTTTGGAGAATTTCTAAGTAAGGTACCCAAAGCATTATGGTGTGCTCCCAGTTTAGCAATCTTGGATCTCACGTCAGCAGTCAAGGCCCACGTGTCTAGAGCTGCCTGCCTACAGAATGTTCAAGACCAAAAGTCTGCAGCTTTTTGGAGCGTGGATCAGGCTTTTGCAAACCACTGTGAGCTGGCTCTGGCCCTCAGTTCAGGTGCTTGGTTTCAGAAAGCAACCATGCAATTCTAGAAGTCCTTAGAAACTGTCCCCTCCTCTTTCCCCCATTTGTTAGGGAACCACTGCTGATTGTCAAATAGACCAAAACCCGGTCTTGATGAAAACGGGGACCCTTTGGGTAGTTTGATCTGGATGCCAAGGCATGGATGCCTTGGCTGCTTCCTCTTTCTCTTCCAGGAAAAATCCCCTGGTAAAAAGGCCTGGAGATAAATATTTGTGTTTTCAGTGGTTTGTTATGACCAGTTTAATTAGAAGGAAATTTAATTACATTGGACTCCTCTGAAGGCAGGTTTCACTCCGAACAAGGTTTTCAAATTGAGTCTGCGTCTCTCTGTACACTTGTTACCCATCGATTACATGTCCAGAAGAGGGTGTGAACCCTGCCATAAAATTAATAGTATGAGGAAGGAGCTGCAGAGAAGATTGATTGGCTCATTTAGGACATGTGCTGGCAGACTAAAATTATTCCTTAGAAGTATATTTCCTAGCGCCTGATCTGGGTGCTTTCAAACACCCTATGCAAAATCGCTTCCTTTCCTCTGGGTAATCACGTCTCATTGCTGACAGATATTTCACTCACTTCAGTTACTGTTGTTTAATACCCTCTTGTGCTACCGTATGGAAACACTCTTATCCAAGACCACTGCACTCGTGAGCCCTTTTCTGCATGGGAAATGAGAGTTGATTAGACCTTACATGGGAGACCTTCAAGGAGACCTTCAGGGAGACCTTTGGGGCAACGTGGCGTGCTGGGGAATGAACCATTACTGTGACTAAGGCGAGAAGGGGGCTAGGTGAAATGACTGCTTCCACTGTGTCTCAGACTAAGACTAGGAATGAGAGGGTTACTGTAGAGCAGCTGCTACGTGGTAGCCTGCAGAGGTGTCTCAGGCCCCAGACAGATGGTCCAGACTCTACTCTGGGAGCCCCTGGTGAGCTGTTGTCCCTGGAAAGCTGGCTGCTCACGCCCCGCTGCCTTGTCTCCTTTGTAAGGCAAAGAAACTGTAAAAAGATAAGAGGTGGAAGTTGCATTTTAAAGGAACAGATGGCATCAAAGTGTTCCCTTGACTTTCCCTGATTTCCCTGGACTTTCATCCGTACCTAATATTGCTGTTCCATCTAAGCATCACTCCCTTTGTTTCACTGCTAAGGGGGAAAGGTGCTCAGTGTCTTGAGTGGCAAGCTGTGCTGCAATAAAGTAAGAAACCCACATCGAGATGGTACGAGCGTTAGTGTCTTCATATCCTTACAGAGCTAATTCCTTAGCGAGCTGAGGGAAAGCACAGGACTTTCACCTTCATTTGAGATATGCAACTTACTGGGAGTAATGTGGCAGTGCGCGTGTCCGTTCTGTAGGAGGACACAGTCTCAGGTGTTACCTCTTATTCTTCCTTCCAGTCAGCAGAGTGGTTTCCCAAGGAGTTTGCATTCCTTGCCCTTCCTCTCGCTTTGCAATATTAAGATGCAGTAAGTTGCAATAATTATAAGTTGTGCACCTTTAAAATAGACCTGACAGAGGATGCTGGCACTTTGCGCATGTGGATGATGCTCTGCAGCATCCCACGTCCAGGGCTGGAGGTAATGCTGGGAAGGAGCCACCACCTGAGACGCTCTCCTAGTGAAAAAGGCCAGCACTGCCTCCGCAGGTCCTGAGTGGGTCCCTCCCATACAGATCTCCATCGCTCCATCTCCTCTGCATGTAATGCTGTA